CTTAGTGGGTTACATGTAGAGCTGCTAATCAAAAAGTCAGTGGTTCAACTCAGTTACCTGTTCCCTAAAAGGAAGATGAGGCAATCTATTTCCTCTAAAATTTACAATTTTAGAAACCAGTGGAGGGCCCCCATGAATCAGAATTGACTCAATAGCAATGGGTTGGTTTTATGCATGTATATAATCCAACATAAAAAGCAAAATTATTCTTCATATAAAAACAGATCATGAATATCTATGTAAATAAATATTTACAAGATAGGGGTCAACTATTTTGTGTTTTATTGTGATAAAATTACATATAATAAAACTGATGCCAATTCAACAACAGTTTCCTATACACTAAAATGACTAGGATCAGGCTTGTCATGTGATGCAACCATGTCCCTTATCCAAGTTATTCCACCACCATTAAGAGAAGTGCAGTGTCCTTTAAGCATGGATATTTCTTTTCCCTCTCCCTCCTTCCTTTGGTAATTACTTATAGATTTTAATCTCTCTGTATTTGCCTGTTTGATATAAAAACTCAAACTCATTGCCATCAAGTCAGAAGGAAATCCTAACAGACCCTCCAGCATGTGTCAGAGGCTGTATATGGCATCATCTCTCTTCCATGGAGCAGCTGGTGGATTTGAACCACCTGCCTTTGAGTTGACAAAACGACTCCCTACTCACTAGACCACCAGAACCACCAGCCACTAAATGAGATCACGTAGTATTTGTTCTTGTGTGACTGACTCATTTAAGTCACTATATTTTCAAGGTTCATCCATGTTGCAGCACTTTTCAGGATGTCATTGCTTTTTATGGTTGGGTAATATTCTATTTTAGTTTGTAGAAAATTGCAGTATTTCCAACAATTTGAATTCACCAGTAGTTCCTTGGAAAAAGAGGAGCAGTCTCCTGTTAAGAATTACAGCCTCAGAAACCTGCTAAATGGTCACCATGTGTTAGAACCAACTCAGCCTCAGTGAACTAGTTGACTTAATAATGTTCTGTTTTATGTATACATCACATTTTGTTTACTTATTTGTTGATGGACATTTTAGTTGCTTCTACCTTTTAACTATTGTGAACAGGGAATAATCAGAATGCTTTTAAAGAAAAGATATTCTTTAAGTACATGTATAATTGAGTTCTGATGGTCTGGTCTGTAAGGGACTATGCTACTAGCCCAAAGGCTATTCCTCTCCTGTTGTTTAAACACATCAGGAGCTCCTTGGGAGAAAGAGAAACGCTGTCATTGTTGGGTGCCATTAAGTCAATTAGGGCTAATAGGGACCCTGTGAACAATAGACATGAACTTTACCTCTTCCAGCACCATCCTCACAATCTCTGTTATATTCAAGCCCATTGTGGTAGTCAGTGCATCAATCCATCTTGTTAATGGTTTCTCTCTTTCATTTACCCTCTACCTATACTTTCTCTATCAGGAGAGCATTGCATCTATCTCTAAAGACTAGTTCCTCCTAAGAATATTTCCAAAGTAAGTAATTTAAAATTTTACCATCTTCACCTCTAAGGAGCACCCCGGTTGCCTTTCCTTCAAACCAGATTTGTTATTTTGACAGTCCATGGAATAGTAAATACCCTTATTCAACACCAGAATTAAAAGACATTGATTATTCTTCAGTCTACCTTATTCAATGCCCAAGTTTCAGATGCATAAAAAGCAATCTGAAAATATCATGGCTTTGATCAGCTGCACCTTAATCTTTAAGCTGACATCCTTGCTCTTTAGAATGTTAGACTGGTCCTTGACAATATATTTTCCCAGCACAACATGTATTTTAATTCCTTAATACTTCTGTCCTGCTTGAATTTCAAAACCATCTCAAGAACAGATTTGAGACCTTGAGAACCAATGAGCGTAGACCAAATGAGTTCTGGGAGGATATCAAGAAAATCGTCCATGAAGAATGCAAAAGATCATTAAAAAGGCTGAAAAAGAAGACAAGACCAAGATGGATGTCAGAGGAGACTCTGAGTATTGCATTAGAGCACCGAGAAGCCAAAGCTAAAGGAAGTAACCAAGAAATCAGAAAATTTCAAAAGGCAGCCCAGGACGACATAGCAAGATACTATAATGAAATGTGCAGAGAGCTTGAGTCAGAAAATCAAAAGGGGCGAACTC